GTTCTAATAGAAGACAGTTCAATATACAAAATGCTATAATCTGAGTGACCGTCCTTATTCCCATATGGAGGAGAAAAAAGTCAGTAACAGTCTATTATCTGTAACACTTACCCTTACGAGATCTGCAATCAGACAAGGATGTGTCAAGTAAAAGGAAAGAACATGAATTTCCTACAGAGTGGCAGCTTTGTCAGATACACTAATATTTATGTGTTTCTTATTCAACATGCTGCCTCAGTTAGTTTCTTTTTGAGAAAAAGAAAATTACTTTTTTTTTTTAATAAAAAAAAATCCAAGCCACTGAGTACAGCACATGCGGTGCTGGAACAAAGTTCTGCCCTATATTCTAAAGGCAAGTTGATTCTTCTGTTACTGGTGGCTCTACCATGCCATCCATGTCAGCAAAACCTTCTAATGTTGTACAGATGTCCTAATATTTTGATGACATCCAGATACTTTATTGTTAACAATAATAAATGGTGATGAAATAGGGCAACGAGCACGTCGCAGGTCTTCCACACAAACTGTGGAGGAGCTGATGCAGTAGCTAAACTGACGTGTCTGTCCTACCTCAGGATGACCCTCCAGAGCAAGAGAGTCTAGACAGATTGCAGCCTGATTGCAAGTAATTATTTTGTTAATGATTCAAGGTGAAAAAATACATCTAAATTTTGACCGTATCCTACACATTAGCAGAGGAAGACTCAGAGTCTCCTTGGAAGCATACTCTTTTTAGCTTAGTAAAAACAGTATTTATAACCAAGTGTTGAAATATATCAGAAAGAATTCCCAAGTGCACCCGGAACACCTGGAGCCGATATCCTGCTTCGCTGTAATACTGCCTCCTCAGGGCTGCCTCAGAAGGTCACTCGCACTTCAGCTGCTGCATGTCACCACCTTATAAATGGGAGATACAGATATCAGCATTTAAAGATCGGTGCCTTGTCATGCCTTCGCACTGGCTTTCCACTCCCACGTGCAAGGTACGATGGGCTGGGTTTAAATTTATAAAATCTGAATGACTAACCACAGCTGTGAACTTATGAGTAAAGACAGAAACTGCTGGAAGCATCAGGGTCTGAACCTTTAGCTACGGAAACACCCAACTGCACTCAATGTTGCAGGGCCGAGGGATGTCAGTGCTGAACGCTGGCCCATGTGGTACTGCTAACATGTAAGGCTTCAGCCATGAAGAACTGCACTGCGCAAAAAAATATCGGAATTTATCTTCCAGAGAAAGTAAATTAATGAACTTCAACAAAACTTTTAAACAAAAAGCTTCAGAACACTTGGAGGTATGTCATTACATATATCACAATTCATAAGTCAAAGTTTGGAAATGAAAATAGCATCTCTTTATTGATAGTCTGCCACAAGTCATTGTATAAGCTTAGAGTTAGCCAAGGTATCCGCTATGTGGGAAGATCCTGAACATTGCAAACATATCCGCAATGCAGTGGATGCTTTCGTATCGCAGGCAACAGGCTCCCTGTTACCAGTTCTCGACACGCTGCCATCTGCAGCAGAAGTCGCCTCGCTCTGTCAGCGGAGCTGTTTTACACAAGCTGCAGGAGGCTCAACAGAGTCACTTGCTCTTCAGCATCGCCAACACACTTGGGACGTACTTAGGATGTTAAGCTCCACTGGCTGCAGTGGATTCCTCTGTCTGGGAGTTCAGCTTGTACACAATGTCTGCAGGACTGGAGTTCACGATTACAAAAACTGCTACGAGGGGGAGAGAACAGACAAACTAAGACAGGAATTCCAACAACTCACCGCATCCATCGTACTGAAGGAAATCGGTAACTTTACAGAGGATTGGACGTTAAAAACAAACAAAGATGTTTAAGCACAAAGTATATATTTATACCAAATAAAACAACTGAAAAAGTATTACATAAAGAAAAAATAATGTAACAGAATGTACTTAAGTACCTAACTTACAGTCATGCTCATATCTAAAAAAAAGTAACATTGGTAACTAATATATATAATTTTGACAAGGGTGCATTTAAGAGTTCTCTAACATATAACATTCTAAATGTGGAGAGTATTTTTTCCGAGATACAGAAAACAAATTACTTGACACAGGCACGCCTGCTAATTTGTATAAAACAAAACAAAAACAAAACAAAACAAAAAACATGCTTGTAAGTGAAAAGGTCACTTTAGTACTAACTTTACCAGATGTATGAAAGCTACGTCACGTTAATCATGTTGAAATTGTCTCTTCTCCTTTTGCGCTGGCGAGCGCCAACACTGACTGGTACAATGTTTGATCCACACAGTTTCCTGACACCGCAACCTGTTTGCAGGCAGGAGCCCTGCCCCGGTGCACGGCGCTGTACAGCCCCCTCTGTCTTCTGCATGTAGTGTATTTATAACTAAAAGCTATTACAATTATTACAATGATTTGTTTCAATATATACATCAGTATAAAATGCTACTCAGAACACTTTTGCATTTCAAACAATTTTAACCACTTCATCAAACAATGCAATTGCAGAATAAAAAAAAAAAATCCAAATTAATGTCGATTGCCAACAATACAGCATCTCTAAGGCATGTTTCCTAACAAACAAAAGAACGGAAATGTATTAAAAAAATCAATTAAAATAAGTATCACAAAACTGAATTAGTGTTAGAACAGTTCAAGGATTCCCAGTTTGTCAGTATCTACCCTAAGCAGTGCTACCCAAATACAGTATAAGCCATTTAGTGTTTCTACAATGAGAGGAAAACATTCAAATATTAAAGCTGTGTCAAACACACAAAAGCAAGGAAATAAAATTTGTTCTATACTCATCCTTATTGTACCTTGGTACAGCATGTCAGGAGTTTGCACTGAGAGCACTATGTGCTATTACACCGAGATACAAGTGGGGAAGACTGAAATGGAAACAGTTCTGCATCTCCTTGCTGTGTGGTTTTAAGTCAGGCGATTCAAGTTATATTTAACAGCTTAGTGTCATTTTTTTTTCCTGAAGGGAAGAAGACAGAAATCATAATGGAATTGTAAAAATGCTACTAAAAAGTCTTACCTTGGACACAATATACTGCTTTAAGAGCTACCGTGTCATTGCACAATATAAGTGGCCTATTAATCACTGAAAGTGTAGCAGAACATATGTCATTGTGCATGTGTTTTGAAAATTAGTGTTTATAAACCTGCCTGTATTTCATTACAAGTCATAATTTTGCTTATTTCAAATACTAAGGTACTACTTAGGTAAAGTAGTAAATTTACATTTAGTGTGGCAAATTTCAAATTTCTGCCTCTGCTGCTTCGGTTTGTAATAAAACAAACTCTTATTTCAGAGTTTTCACACCTTAAATTATTTTAAAACATATCTGTCTCTGAAGCATATATAAAAAGATCCAAGTTACTAAATGGGTTATTTTTTGGATTACTGATTTATTCCTAACTTGAAAAATAAACAATTCCTTAAAAATCCACCCCGCCCCCAATTAGTTCCTGTTAGCTGAGATTTTCCAAAACCAAGTTTCACCCTTTCACACCAGCATCTCTACAGCCTTGTTACATACCCTTGAAAATAAGGGCTCACGTTGGGAATGGCGACAGGCCCTTAATTATAGAGGTGCTAACTGGTGACACCACTATTCACCAGAAAAACAAAAACAAGCAAAAACAAATCACAAAATTTCATAGCTTATACTGAAAGTTTGATTCATGCTCACTTTGTTCATCTAAAAATACTCTTTGGAAACTGTGTCAGCTCCTGCAGACAATTTAGTGACACATCTTTTCCTGTTAAAATATAGATAACTCATATTCACCTCTACCCCATGCTAAGCTCTACTACTAATATACACGTCATTACCTGCTCATGTCACCATCTACCACGTATCTTTACAGTCTTCTACATATAGTACCCAGGGCTTATTTTTCACCAAACAGAATTTGATAACTATTTTACTTAAGAGTTTCAGTGAGGACTTCTTTCTTTTGGTGTGCCAGCATTTTCATTGCAACATAGAGTGAAATCAATTAGTTTAAACTATTTTTCCATGTTAAGAGAAGCTTCCATAATTTTTTCTTCCAAAAAGGATTTCAAAAGCTGAACTCACTTAGATATCAAAACTGAAAATCAGAGAGAGATTAGGTGCATCTGTCATCTTAAACCATTTCTGCTACTTCAAAATGCATTTAAAAACTGTACATACCAGGCTTAGAATCCTAACTTTTACACTGTGGATCAGATTCTAATTAAAAATTATTGCAAATAAACATGAAAAATAAGCCACTGGTCATGAATTCTAATGATTACATTCAAAGCTAGCCTTTAAAAAAAAGTTACAGGCAAAACACACTGTTTTATGTACTCACTAGCTTATTAGGCTAAAATAGGCATGTTTTAGGTATAAAAAAGCAGACGATTCAGATTTAAATAAGACTGTGTGAAATCAGAAAAAAACCCTTAGATTTCACTATTAAAAAAAGAACACCTATTATTACTTCCCGCCCTACAGCTACAGTTAAAACAACTAACAAAAATAATCAAAGTATTTCTGACAAAAGTTAGGCTAGAATATGTGGCAACAATCAAAGTTCATATATGTTTCTATGTAAAATGACTCATGATTTACTATAACATAAAATATGAACAAGAGCACTTTGTGACTAATGAAAGAGCTATTAGTAGAAACACTTAATGTCAAACAGTCTTCAGCCCTCCTTTAAGTCGTATCTCCAAATCAGTATTGACTTCTTTTGACCAGATACATCATTTTTGGCTTGTCATCCCAGTATGTCATGTTTTACCACTTGCCACAGGCAGCAGGAGACAACTAGCTGAGCAAACTACAAGCACTGACATGCAGAAATTAACTTGCAAATCTGAGTACTTAGATAAGGTGATATGCAAGCGCACACTAGGACAAAAGGAATGGCATTCGTCACCCAAATAGGCTCATCATCCCTTCCCACCCCCTTGAACAGTAGTTGCAACAGCAATAGAGAAAGATCAAGAAGATGTCTGTTCTTCAGAGTCAACTGTGGAAAAAAGTCAGCAATATATAACAGCAGCGATGGACAAGGAAGAGCAAAATGAAAGAATCTTGTTGAGTATTTGTTCATTTACTTTTTCTGAACACAAGCCCAAGTTTCCCACACTGGCTTGCTCTGAACTTCAGATACAGATGTCCTATTCTCCTTAGATCCTTCACAGATTTAGAATTCAGTCTCCCTGAGGCCTCTATAACCAAGTAAGAAAACTCTCTTTATCTAGCTTGGTGGCTGCCAAGACAGACTCCATGTCATTAAGGATGTCGGAGCTCAAAGCCTCTTGCAGACTTGGCATCAGTTCCTCTCCTTCTATGTTCATCCCATCTCCTTCCAGTGTCCCAAGGTCCACATTCGTCCCTGGAATGGCTTCAAGGTAGTCTGGGAAACGGTTCTGGTGGGACGGTATGTTACTTTGGCTGATACTGTCACCTAGTCATAATAGAAAGCAAGATGAATATTAAAAACGTTGGAATTACCAAGCCCACTATTTATCAGGACAACTAGTCAAAAATTAGCCCCAGCTCTCACATCATACAAGCAGATTCACAGAAATCTTGTTTCAACTTTTTCCACTTCTGGACTTTAATCTCTACTAATCATGTTTTTATTTTTCTTATTTTTATATTTAAAAGACAACACTGACAAGTCAAGTATTTTGGGGCAATATCGCGTGGCAGTAATGGATAAGGTAGGATCCTTAGCTCAGAACAAGCAATACTGACACTCAATTTCTGCTTAATTACAGAAGTGATGTCATTTATGAGCTCCTCCTGGATAGAATGTACTACAGGTATATTTGTCACAAATTCAGCTGTAACATTTCTGAAAAGACAAGATGCCAGAACACTGCGGGGAGTAGCACAGCTGAGCATTCTGTGGACACAAACATTGCTGAAAAACGTGCATCAAGGTAAACAAAAAACAAACCTGTATCCATCTCATCAACACTGTTCAGAAAGTCATCGGGGGTTCTGGGTACACTGTAACTGCTCATGCTAAGTCCACTGTCCGTGCTTTCATCTCTGGAGTGATATGTTCCACTATAACAGAGGAAAAGCAGCAAAATAATGAGGGTAGGGCATGAGGATAAAAAGCTAAAATGATTAGAAGATGCAAGGCTTAGAAGAAATCTGAGGGCTTCGATGGCATTGCTATCACAAGAAATGCAGTACTCTAAGTAAAAGCCTTTGTCTGTGTGAGATGAGGGCTTTTACCACTTAAGACCTTATTATTTGGATTCAGTTTTACTTGATGAGAACATACTTAAGCGGCTTTAAGTAAGTGTCTACATTGTTTTAAAAGCAGTTTCACACACACCCACAGCCACCACAAACCCATTACAAATGTATCACAGATAGTCTCTAACGATTGTAAAGCTTAATAATGGTATAGCATTTCACACTTCTTTTATAAGGATAAAAAAAAACTTATAAATGCTCATGTCCTGTTGCTTAATCACCCACTGAAATTATTTTTAGCTCTCTGCTGTTATAAATAGGAGTTAGAGTTGGAACTACTTTAGCAATTCTTCAATTGCTTCCCACTGTTGCATTACTACTAGTTCAGTTTTACATGTCACGGCAACAGAGCTAATATAAATCAAACACTGGTACAGAAGCCATCCTGCAAACAAACCCTGTTCCAAACGATCTTGTTGACAGAACAGTTAACAAAACAGGTGGCAAAAGGCCCTATATATGTTGTGTTCTTATTGCCATCTCTACTAGAAGAACAAGCAAAACCAAGAACACTGGTGGAAAATTTTGAAATTTAGAAGGAAATTTAGTAGTTGACTTCCTTATAAAGTAGATAAACTATTTCCTTTTTTTCACTAAAAATACACGCAAGACTCCAAGTCATCATCTTAAGCAGAATAATTATTTTCAAAACTTTTTTTTCCTTAAGCTACTTGCTATACAAGACAGATAGGCACAAGTCTGCAAGACTTAAGCTCCGAGAGCCTAAAGATGCAACAGTCACACTGCTGAGCAGCTCCCGAAGTACACCCCTGCATGGTTACTATGAGCAAGCTCCACAATGTGTTTTCAAATCTTTCACATGTCTTCGTTTGTGGCAGCATTTACTAAGAATCCTTACTAATTTTCCAGCTTGAATATGAAGTGAAGTTTAGCTTCATGTGCAGCTCAAATTAGCATGAAGAAATACTGGTCCTTTGTGTAATGTGCTCACGACACGTATAGCATATACCTTGTTGTTAAGCATGGAGAAGGCTGGTCAACACTGGATGCAAGTAAAATGCCATCAACCATGAACACGTTAGATTTTACAAAGTCATTTTTGCATAGCAAGAGACCCAACATTTCTATATAGCTGTAGCATAAAAATTTAAGAATAGTGTCACCACACATTTGATGACCACTGAGTCTATTATACTTTTTTCTTATTCCTGCAGAAGTCATATTGAAGTAAGAAAGTTACTTAAAACTTCTGTGAAAAATGTTTGACTGTGAGGTGAAAAGCTAAAAACAACTGAGGTGATACTGAACAAAATCACTCTATTTGAGAAAGTTTTTTGGCCGCTGCTATCATTTTAGATGGCCAGCACTTCTTTTCCTTCGAATCTTTAACATACACAGTCTCTGCCCTTCATTTCAATGGGGATCTCTTCCCTCCATTTAATAGTCACACCCCTCAATTATTGCATGCAACTTAACAGCATTATCCAAGGAAGAATGAATGCTCCTTTAAGAAATACTTGCTAAAAATATCCATATACAAAAGAAGAAAGCAAAAAATAGAGGAGTTAAATGGAGTACTATCACCACCAACAACATATATCTAATAGACAAAAATATATAAACAGTGGTAAATCAAAAGGTGAAACCACCTAATAAGGATCATACTGTGGAATGTCCCATTTTAAAAATAAAATATGCAAAGACCATAAGTACTAAAGACACAGGCAAAGGATTTAGTGAATAAATGAACACACCACTGTACATCATCTTAATCCTCTCCAAAATAGCATTGTTTTCTGGTACTCTTTGGGTGTTCTTTTTATGTAGGCAGTGGAAAATATTCAGACTATTTAAACTTTGGATATCCATCAAACCTCAGCACCCAAATTAAGACGATCTCATCAGGAAATTTATGTAACTTAATGAGATAAAAGCACCACTGTAGGCCTGAAATTTAGTGAAAGGGACATTACGTAGATCTCTGGAGCAAATTATTGGACTGCTGTATCCAGCAGCGACAGCTACTCACACCAACAAATATCCTTTCGGAAGTCGCCCTTTCCGATAGCAATATGCAGTAAAATGCAGTGATGCACAGAACGTTATCCAGAAGAGGACAGTGCTCAAAGCAAAATGCACATTAAAATATTTTGAGCTCAAGTCAGGCACAGATTTTTCAGATTTTCAGCATTTTGTCTGAGGTAGATAGACCCACCAAATAAACCAAACCAACCAGCCAAACGTGGTTAGCCATTTGCAGCTGGGCAAACTGTAACTGTGCTTTGTAGTAAATAACCCACGCTAAACAGCAACCTTTCAAAAAAGTAAAGGTTTGAATTTGTCCCTGTGGCTTTCTTCTCATTTCTAACTCGCCTAACCACACAACAGTTGAGACTGAAGCGACCTTTAGAGATCATCTATTCCCTGCTCAAGCAGGGTCACCTAGGGCTTGCTGCCCAGGATTGTGTCCAGGTGGCTTTTGAGTATCTCCAAGAAAGGAGACCCCACAGACCCTCTGGGCAACCTGCTCCTGGGCCCAGTCACTATCACAGTACAGAAGTTTTTCCACATAAAGAAAATTATTTTATAATAGCACAAAGAATTTTCAAAGATAGCAACAGTATGAGCTTCTAGAATTATGGCAGGTATCTAAGCTTGACCAATTGTAAAATCATGCAAACACTACATAATGTTGACCTCTTACCTTATAAGTAGGTTGGAAACTATATTGATGGCAAAAAAAAACATGAAAGTTAACTTACATTGAAAGCACAATGAAGAATCTTAACGGCTTTTTCATGAATATAGTAATATATCATCCAAGAGAAGGAGGAGTATTTTGTTCTAATTCCTGGGCACTAACAATGGGCAACCTAAAGCCAGGTTAACATTTCAAGGTAATGCAGAAATACATAATTTCTCTCTCTTATGGTAGGATATATTGAGTTGCTACCACTTTAAAGTGCAGACAGAACAGTCTGATGAACTACTACAAAATTAAGTATTTAATAAACACAAGTCCCTTAAATTGACTGAGGTTTAACTGCTTGATACTATGGAGCAGATTTTTAAAAATCACATGGTTCGGTTTTTATTCTTTTATCCATTTGATCTTTTTTTTTCCCTCCTAGTTGTTACACAAAAATATGGATGCGATGTATCTCAAGCCACACCAGTTTGCCCAAAATTGCATTAGTTACAGCATTTGCAGACTGTAATTAGCATTATTTCCAACAAAACAAACACTCCTTAACTCAGAGGGTTTAGGGGAAAAGTTATATGAATAGCAAGAGTCTATCTAGTAAAAGCTTTAACTCTTGAATAAAGAGAGAACTTCAAATAAAAACGTTTAAAGAAAAACATGCTACTATTTGCAGACATAATATTAACAAAGTAAAAATACTGTTAGGCTAAATACCTGAAGTGGAGGGAAGGGGTGAAGGGAGAAACCTTAACATGAACCTCAAGGTGTAGTTCTGAATGAAACTAACAGTTCATTTATCTCACAGCAAGCTATTCACAAATTCTTCTGAGTCAGTAATTTGAAATGACTGTTAGTCAACAGATTATGCAGAGGCAAACATGTTATGACTTTGAATAAAAAACCTTCCTACAAGTCTGAACAGACTACTTCCTCCCACAGGAGACAGCTTTTAATCCTCAACTTTTACTAGACTTGCCATTTAAGGAAAGATTCATTTACAGCTGTGGCTTTTGGCACAGACAGATGTTCAAAATAAACTATTACATGTACTGAACAGAATCTTAAATCAATTTCCCCCCCCTCCAGTAGCTACTCCTACAAACCTGTTAAGAAAGGGGTCAGAACTATTTGTAGTCATTGTTCTCAGTTCCTGAGACATTCCAGGAGACGACACGGGATTTTGAGAACCACCGTCTTGTTCCATTGTTGGAAGCTGGCTACGTAGAGCCAATTCCTAAAAAAGGAGAAGGAGGAGAAAAGAAAAGATGTTAGGCATGTAAATGCACTTTTCAAATATGCAAAAAAATGATATTATAGGATAATTGATGCTTTAATGTTTTCAGTTACCATATTTAAAGGAAATAAGCTTCTGCAGACAAAGCAGCAATTTTCACTAGCTTCGGTGAAAAAATGTTCATCCAGTCACGCCCAGTATTACAGGGACTTCACTGTAAATATACTTATGGATATTAAAATTCTATGTTTACATATGTATTTTCAAGTTTAATTTGATATCTTTTTTCTAAGTCTTTTCTTAAAGTCAAAAAGAGTTGTCAGCACTTCCTGAATCCTAAGATACAGCTATGTCTGCTATCTCTTTTGCCTATTCCTTACAATCCCTGGTTAGTTCTAATTTCTTATTCATCCAGCAACACTTTCCTTAAAAGCTCCTGTTCACTCCTCCTGTTGAGGCACATACTTTGACATTTCTGTAAATCAGTGACTTCCTCCATCTGTAAATCTTAAAATACTTCAACAACTGACAACTTCTTAGAAAAACCAGGAAAGCCTGCCTTTTTAAAGTTAAGAATCTCAAATTACATCTGTATTTTTTTCTCTTACTGTACACCAAATAATCAATGTATAACCATTTGATCCATCCATATAAAACTTTTATCATCACTTTTTAACATAAAATGCACAAAGTTAAAAGTGGAGGTTGTGCAGAGATATTACTTCCTTGCTTTCATATTACTTCCATGGGTAAAACATATGAAAAATACCCTTTCTTGAACCACGATCAGTGGCTCAACAAGTCACTGTTTTGTTAATACAGAGATTTGTCTTGTGACTGCTTTTCGTAGTATATTATTTCCCATCTCTGCTTACGAAGCTAGTATTTTATAAAGACAACACTCAAGATTTTTCAAGTTGTAAAATTAGGGAGGGGAGGGGTCTTTACACATTTCAAACAAACCTGAGGATCACTGCAAATTTTTAAAATATAAAAATCAACTTTAATTTCCCATTTTTTCCAGTTCTTCACCAATTTCATTTAAAAAAGTCCAAGGTAACTTTCTTTTCTAGTAGATTGTACCAAACATACAATGCTCCTCTACCACCTGCTTTTCTTCTTTTCTCAGCTATCTGTGCTTCACTCACATTGCTGTGGATTATAATTCCACATATTCCTTTAATAGCAAATTTCATGTACTGCAGTAGAACGTTTTCCCACTCCAGGTGCTCAGACCCTGTGGAAATATCCGAATGTACCAATTGTTTTTGTCACATGCAACTGTTTCCCCTAGGTAAGCACAGTCCATTCATTAGGTTATGCAAAGGCAAACACATGTTATGTTCTAATAAACGGTAATAATATTCCTTCCCCTCATTTTCACATCAGAGGAAAGCAGGCACCCTTTATTCATTTCTATAGGCTTATTCAAATGTCTTTCCTTTTGTTATGTAATAAAACTGAGCACACAGAATATATAAAATTTATTTTACATCTTAGCTTACAAGCCTTATCAGTCATACTAGCCTTAATCCAAGAAAGGCCTGATATTCATATGATATACAAGTGGAATCATCCTTTTGTTTTATTTAAACACAGTATGCTTTCCAGGAATGCTTCTCCGGTGGTGATCTGAGAGAAGTCTTAAAACATCCCCAGAATTAGTCACTTTCACCACATACTTTATGTTCTTCCACTGGAGAGCAGAAAAATTCCTCCCAACACCTTTCCTTCTCCGATAAACTTCCTTTAACATGATATCACTACTTTCCATTAGTTAGTTTACTATTTTCCCATTAAAAATAAGGGGCAAAAAAAAATTGATTTTGCATCACTGCATTTAGATTCTTTTCAGCCTTGGGTTCACACCTGGCAACCTTCCTGCTGGACTATGCCATAGGTGCATTCTTTACTGCAACATCAGAGCAGTCAGTTAACCACCTCCCCAGTCCTATATTTCTATAATTGTCTGGATGTGGCAAGAATTCCCTGGCCTTTCCCCTTAGCTCTGCACAAGGCCTTTTTGTCTCTTTAGACTGCGGACCCTGACTAGGAAACAGGGAGCAGAGGGCACAAGTGCCACTCTCAGAAGAACCCAAATCAGAGACTAGCACCCCAACAGCTATGCCCCTGCAAAGCCAGCTGGAGTCCTTTCTGCCTACAAAGCCCTGGAATGACATTACCTCTCGTGGGAAGGGCCTGATCTACCACACCTTCAGCAATGCCTAGTGATCCCATAGCTGAAAACACCACCACAAACCAACCAACCCCAAAGCACAACAACAAATAACACCCAGGCCTCCTTTTCAAGGGTTACATCTGATGTTTCTTATACCACAGTGGGAGGAAAGAAAGAAAAATTTCTCCTCTGTACCTTAAACTTAGAGGTGAAGAAAAAGAAATCAGTACAAAGGAATTAACAAAATGCCAAGGGAGAAAGTTACCCTTGTATTTTCTAAATACTTACAGGGCAGGAGCAATTGAATGCAGTTTTGTCAATACATGACCTTGAAATAGCACGATAAAAATAAGTATAGCTCAGATAATGGGTAACTACAAAACATAATTATATTTCACTAAAGACCTATTAAAGATTCACATAAACCAGGAGACAGATAATATTAAATTTAATACTAATTTTATCTTTGTTTCAACAAACAGTACCAAAATGCAAAATTGTAACATTTTGCATTAATGCTATTTATTCAGGACAGGAAGAACTACAGGAAGTAGTTGGGAGGAATGCAGGATTTATTCTAATCTACTCTAACTAGGAAGAGTTCTACCTCTGACACTCACTCGAGCAACAAATTTGTGTTAACCTTATGGTCTGAAAAAGGAACTACCAAAGTGAACCTGTTGAGAAACAAATGCAGTGATTTTTAATCACTCCACAACATATCTGATGTTTTCTACAAGCCTTCAAGAATATGCTGTATATTGTTTTTTAAAGGTACATAGAAAGAATATCACATAGCTTGAAGAATGGTCTTTTTCTTCCCCCTTCTAAAATTGATTTGCAGTGAACTTGCTTTGTGTATTACCCATGGTTTAAAAAATGCTTGGGAGGGTACAAGCCTCCCCATCTCCAAACAGAGCAATATGAACTCTAGGTTTTAAATCATGCTTTAAAAACATATCCTTATTAGAAGTACACAAAGTCTGGAGGTAAAAATGCAACCATGACAAAATCCTGGCTTCAACTTCTATGACTTGATCTCATCCTATTTTTGTAACTTTTTTTTTTTTTTAGTACTGTCAGAAAAATAAAAGCTTAGCATTCCCATTGTTAGCACAGAATCTGAATTTTGGGTATTACACACAAGGCCAAAATGATCTGTCATCTCCTTGGGGAAAGTAATTTTAAAAATAAGGCCAGCATTGTGTAATTTATCTGGTGGGCCTTTCCCAAGTTTTTTTTTCATAGTTGCTCAAGGATTAAGCTTTACACAATTCCAAGTCATTCACACCACATTCAAACTAAGCTTATAAAAGTACTCTTTTCAGAGCACTTTTGTTTTTACCTTCACCACACTATTGAGGAAAGGTGGAGACCGACTCCCTTGCACTACTTATACACAACACTGTTACTATATCAAAAATATGACAGGCTGATCATTTTGAATTAATATATCCTTATAATTGTCTTTTGATAATTTTATGCTTTAAAATGCCTGGTATGGGGAGAGGTAGCAAGGGAAACAGAAGACCACTCCATCTCTACACAGACCATCTGCACAGATTATTTCTTCACTTTAAATATTTATGTTCTTGGAGAAACACAAAGTTCTAGCATATGTAGAAAAGAAACAGGGAAAACACATGGGCAGAAGACAACGAACAAATTCAGAAATGGAGTTACGCAATAGACGAAGAGTAGACGAAGGGGAAAACACAAATCATCCAGTGTTGCAATCATGAAAACCATCAAAACTGATGCAAGAGGAGCACTGATAGTTAACTGTACTGCACGTGCTTGGCACAGTTCTCATTTCTGTGTGTCACCTTTTTGCCTATCTGTGAGCAAGAGATTCTGGGCAACCACCTCCAGTCCCGTTTGCGAGAGCCGGTAGGGCAGCACGGAGCAAAGGAGACGTTAGCGGCCAGCCTGGCTCGGGGCAGGCCCAGCCGCGGCGCTGCTCCGCGCTCCGTGTGCTCCTCACGGCACCTCTGGGGGCGGGGCCCCGTGCGAGGAGGCAGCCGCCTCATGGAGGCCGCACAGGCCGAGGCGGCTGCTCCACCAACCCCCGTTTGCTGCCAGCAGAGCAGGTACTCAAGGCCATCCCATACTCAAACAGGATTCATTTCTTCGGCTGACCAATTGCTTTAGCAGTACTTCTAGCTTTAAAAAAAAATCATTTAAAAATAACTTTCCTTACAACTCTTCTGTAGCTTAACTGTGACAAACATACACACTAAGTGCATTACAGTCAGACTGGGCTGACGCGACACGGTCCCTGCACTCCACTGTGTATCCCTGTCATGCAACCCAGGTATCTTTTCTACTGTATGTAACTGTAATATAAATACTACAACTTTTGTCACACACACTAACAAAAAACCATTTAACTCAAGTCTATTGCTTTCAGTAAAGAATAAGGCTATACTCTGCCTCAGAAATCAAAGAACAGTTTAAAGTACTATGTTCACAAGAAGGCTCAGGAACTGTAATGTTGCTTTTATAGTAAAAGCAACCGAGTTCCACATTTTGTGTATTTTTGTGCCAGTCAACATAGTCCCTCCCCCCTGGATGTAGCCACACAGGACTCCCTTTCACTACTGCATGACTATTTATGTCCAGTTGTGTTTGCATTTTCTGGGCACTCTTTAAATAATACCATAGAGTGCTGCTCACAAGAAATAAGGCAGTTTTAAGCAACAAATAGATTAAGGAACCACTTCATCATTTCTTAAAAATATCCAAATCTGAGTTGTACTTTCCAATGCTTTGGCAAAACTTATGGCTATATTTAACAGAATTTCAAGGCACAGACTGAGAG